AAAAAAAAAAAAAAAAAAAAACCTCTAGCAGTGGCACATGCCTGATATCCCAGCTACTTGGGAAGGTTGAGGTGAGTGTGGGAGACCCCAATCTCAACAAAAAGAAAGAAAATATCAAATATTCTGGAAGTAGTCCAAAATATGGCAACTAGAATCTAGATATTTTATTCAAAACAATATTATTATAGAGTTTCACTAGTACCTATTTACAGGCTTTTTAGAAGAAAGCTAGCATAGATACTTAATAATAATAAAGAAAATAACTTGCTTATTTACTGAAGTGATGATATAGCAGCAAAAATTTAGACTCTGAAAAATTGTGATTGATGATATTTCCAAGAATTTCCATAAATAATTTCATGTACCACATATTTTATAGAATCTCCATTTACAAAATTCTATTATTTATGTTGAGTCTTTATTGTCAAATCTGAAAAGAGAATACCTATATATTACTGAATGTCTCTAAAAAAAGTTGTATAAACTTTGTTATCTCCTTTGTTCCATCCATCTTTAAATAAAAACAAAGGTCTATGACATACATTCAAATGATCACAACGTAAATGTAAATAGCTATAGACAATATAATTCTATAATAACAGCTATTTTTATTTGAATCCAAAACAAAACATGCAGCATAAGTCAGCTAAGGGCTGGAGATGGGCTATAGTCTTATGAGAGTTTGTCTATCATGTAGGAAGCCCTGGGTTTGCTTCCCAGCACCATTAAAAAGAAAAAAAAGTCAGGGGCTGGGGCTCAGTGTAGTAGAACGCTTGCCTAGCATGTTTTAGGCACTGGATTCGATTCTCAGCACCACATATAAATAAATGAAATAAAGGTCCAAATAAAATAACACCAACTTTATTTAAAAAAAAAAAAGTCAGCTAAAACAGTGTATTAAAGAATGAGAGCATAACACATGCTTCTGGACACACAGTAGTTGATACTAACTGATTTCACCAAATCTAAGTCACTTCTTAGCCAGGCATGGCAGCACGTTTGTAAACCCAGTGGTTCAGGAAGTTGAGGCAGGAGATCACAAGTCTGAAGCAAGCTTGAGCAAGAGCAACTTGGTGAGACCCTCAACAAGTGACAAGGGAGATCCTGTCTCCCAAAAAAAAAAGGGGGGGGGGGTTTCGAATGTATCTCCTTGGTAGAGCTCCCCTGAGTTCAACCCTGAAAGGGCGGGGTGGGGGGGGGGCAGGGGGAAGAAATGATCCACAGCACTGCAAAACAAAACAAAACCTATAAAACTGTCCAAAATGCAAATCACTTTTTTCCCTAGTTAATCTATACATTTTTAAAAGTCTTCACAAATAAATGACACATCACTTACAAACACTTACAAACACATAACCTAACTCGGCTATAACAGGATTCCCCCCAACACCCACACACTCATTTACAGTACATGTGTTCAGCAGTCTGACCTGGCTGTGATACCGCAGTGGCTGTAAACTGAGTAGCCCATGGCGGATTCTTCTGTCCTCCAAACTGAGCCATGATGCAAGGGGTAAAAAAACCTTCACTTGTTTTTCTTCTATAGCAGCAATCTATTAAGAAAGGATCCACGTTTCAAAGTTCAACCAAACTACAAATATCACAATTATTTAAAAGAAATGTTTAAAGTATCAAAGACATCTTCCTAAGTAGAAATAATAACTGCAAGTAGGAAAAGGGCAAATGAACAACACTTCAAATACAGCAAAAACATTTTACATCAACTGGATCACCAAAGTACCCTTATTTTAGGGACAGACTTAAAGGGCACTTCTTTCTGTGACTATAAACCGTCACATTTAAACAGAAGACAATCTGCTCTATCCACCAGATTATTAACAAGAAGTTCACAACTCCATATTCACAGGATATCTAGCCTTCGTGTTTCTTTGGGCGATGGAGTTGGAGATTGGGGCCAAAGTGATGGTGAAATCAATAACGGAAAACTGGACGAGACCCCGAACAAAGGTACTTATCATCAAAATAACGAACATCTCTAATTTCTCTGGTATGGAATTAACTAGGACCTCCTTTGCCCTCGACTTCCTCTCCCTCGTGTGGAAAGGCAGTTGAGCTAACCGATGCCCCTCAAAGAACCAATGCGAAGACCCCACTCCCGCCAAAGACAAGTCAGAAAATGCGATCATCTCCGCCCGCACATCGCCCGGGCGCGGCGATTCTGACGGGCCAGGGCTCTGCCATCTTCCTCCGGCCCCAGCTCCTCGCGGGCCGCAGACGGCGGAAGGCGGAACCCACCGCCCCACAACACTGGGTTAAGCGCCAACACGGGGACACTCAAAGAGTTCAGGCCTCCTTAAGTCCAGGGCACGACGGAGAAAGCCTCCATCCCCAAACCCACGCCACGGGGAGCCCCCCACCCCCGCCCCGGGCTTCGAAGCTAAAGCCGCAGCAGCTCCGGAGAGGGGGACGGCGGACTGCAGCCGGTAGGACCAAGGCTGAGGGGCGCTGGGTACACCTGAGGGGCGACCGGGAAAGAGCGAGGCGGTGGGGGAGGGGCGGGCAGCACAGGGCCTGGTCCGACCGGCACAAAAGGGACCGCGTCCCTCCCGCCCCAGTCCCACAAGAGCCCCACGGTCGCCGGCCTGGGGCCTCCGCGCCACCAAAACGAAGCCTCCCGGCCCTTCCGCTATAGGACAGATGTTAAGAACCCCGGGCGGCCGCCCACCGCGCTCCAATCAAGCGCTGACCAGACCTTCACCTGAGTCGGGTCCCGACTAACACCGAAGCCATTTCAAAACCCGTCAGCCTTATGCGCATGCGCCAACCTCCCCCTCTCGCTCCTCACCGCCTCCTTCCCAATTTCCCAGAGGAACCACGCTTACGGCTTGACGTCCTACGTACGCGCTCTCCGACTCGCCCCGCATAGGCTAGCCCTTTTGACTGCGCTGCTAGAACGAGAACGCGGTGAAGAAGGGTTACCTTGGCTCAGCTTAACAATGAGCGGGCTACGTCTGTGCGCTATCTCTGAGGCAGAGGCTGACCAGAGCGGGTGGAAGGAAAGAATTCGCGGTCACGTGATCCGAGGAGGGCCGACGCCATTTTATGATTTTTCTTTTTCCTTTTTTTTTTTTAAAACAGTACATTTGGTTGGAGGAATGGGTATGTTCTGTGACGTCTCAACTCTTTTTTTTCATTGAGGTAAATTTCACTTAACATACTGAATGGACTTTTTTTCTTTTCTTTGAGAGAGGGTCTTCTATGTTGCTCAGGCTGGTCCCAAACTGCTGGGCTTAAGCGGTCCTCCTGCCTCAGCCTCCAGAGTTGGGACCACAGWCAGGTTCGCGCCAATGCGCCAAGATGGACTATTTTAAAGTGTACAATTTAATGGCCTTTAGTGTGTTCATAGGTTGTGCCACCATGACCACTGCTATTATTAAATCTTTTCATCACCCAAATAAGAAACCTACACCTATTAACCAGTCACTCCCTGTCGTGAGTGAGCTATGTCATTTACATAGACAAAACACGTTAGGTGTATTTCCACAGTGTCACAATTTAGTGAATAACAATAAATTCACAGGTTACACTGTTTTCATCAGTGTCAGTTCACTGAATACCTGTGGATCACCTGATGGTCATAAGCCAAACAATCAGGTTTCTTTACAACAATCTTTTAATTTTTAAAAAAATGTAGTTTTGTATGGACAGAATGCTTTTTTTTCATTTTTTAAATTTTTATATGGTGCTAAATATGGAACCCAGTGCCTCACACATGCTAGGCAAGCGCTCTGCCACTGAGCTACAGCCCCGGCCCCAAGTCTTAATTTTTAATAGCTGAAATACTCAAGTCACACACTTTACACTAGACTAAAAAAGGCTTAAAGCAGCTGCAGGTGTTCTGAGACTGAACTAAGAGCAAAGACAGAAAGCAGATAGTCACTGTAGGGGGTCAGAAGATTAAGGACCAGGCCCAGCAGGTGGCATAGGCCTTTAATCCCAGCAGTTTAGAAGGCTGAAACAGAAGAATCCCAAATTCAAGGCCAGCCTCAACAATATAGCAAGGCCCTAAACAATTTAGCAAGATTTTCTTATTTTGCTGGCCATTTTATTGTTTCATCTGTTACATCTACTACCCCTAGTTGCCATCACTGCTACCATCAATTAAAGAAAATCTACAATTGCCACACACTGTGTTAAGTACTCTAGACATAAGAATGGAACCAAGTAATAGTTCTGCAAGCTGATTTTATAGCTGAACATAAAACATAAAAAGGGCTGGAGATGTTGCTCAGTGGTTAAGTGCCCCTGGGTTCAGTCCCTGGTAACAAAATAAATAAATAAATAAATAAATAAAATATTAAGGACCAGTTCACTGGATACAGTGGCACAAGCCTGTAATCCCAGTTGCTCAGGAGGCTGAGACTGGGTTAAAAGCCAGCCTTAGCAATGGCAAGACACTAAGAAACTCAGTGAGACCCTGTCTCTAAATAAAATACAAAATAGGGCTGAGGGCCTGGGGTTGTGGCTCAGATGTAGAGCGCTTACCTAGTAAGTGTGAGGCCCTGGGTTCCATCCTCAGCACCACAGAAAAGTAAATAAATAAAATGACCGTATTGTATCTAACTAAATATATATAGATAGATATAGAGATAGAGCTGTGGCTCAGTGCCTGAGTACCCCTGGGTTCAATCTCTTGTACAAACCCCCCCCACCAAAAAAAATATTAAGGACTAGCTTAAGAATTTGTTCAGGGGCTGGGGATGTGGCTCAAGCGGTAGCACGCTCGCCTGGCTCGCCTGTAATGCCTGCGGCCCCGGCTTCGATCCTCAGTACCACATACAAACAAAGATGTTGTGTCCGCCAAAAACTAAAAAATAAATATTAAAAAAAAAAAAAAGAAGAATTTGTTCAGGGTGTAGAGCTGTCAAAGCATAGGACCAAGGTGTGGTCAGACCACAGTTTCAGAGTGTCAGCTTGGTGTGGGCCATGGGCAGGAGAAACCACACAGTGCTATAACCTGAGGACCAATATTCAGAAGATTGTGGTGTGGTGATCTTCCTGGGCAAGGCTCATGATATTGAAAAGGTGAAGGAGTCAGGGTACTGAAATGACCAGTCTCAGGGTGCTACTCCTTTTATGGGGCCTCAGGTAGGAGGGCTGCTTCATACAGTGGTCTGATGTGTTCCATATGCTCATGGGCCTGGTTTTTCTGATATGAGTTTGATATGTTGTGTATTCATGTGCTGCTGATTAATTCAGTCAATTCAAAGGTGGTCATTTTTATTAGTAGGATTTATTTATTGGTTTATACTTTATGCCTGTGCAAGGCAGATGGTGGTTGTTTGCTTGTACAAGCAAGGTATGGAGTCATTCCACCTAAACACTTAGAAGTGGAGTAACTTATGGCAAACTACTGCTTTACAAAATGGAATAACTCAAATTTTGGCATAGTCTGAAAACTACTGGTCTATATACATCATAGATAACTTTGAGGAGAGCCCAGTTTGCTCTCTTTACCCTCTAACTCCAATCATCAAAACTCTGATCACCACTAATCTTTTTCTCTTCAATGGCCCATCCTAGACATATAAGTAGAATCTGCAATGTGTGGCCTTTTGTGTGTTTGGGTTCTTTGACTTAGTATATAATTTTCAAATTTTGACCATGTAGTAGCATTATCAATTTTTCTTTAAATCATAAATATTATTCGTTCTTGGGCTGGGGCTGTAGCTCAGTGGCAAAGCATCTGCCTTGCATGTGTGAGCGACTGGGTTCAATCCTCAGCGCCACATAAAAGTAAAGTTACTGTGTCCATCTACAACTAAAAAAATAATTTAAAAAATATTACTTGTTATTTTATATTTTATTTTTCCACATTTAAGCAGTGGTGTGTGTGTGTGTGTGTGTGTGTGTGGTGTGTGAGAGAGAGARAGAAAGAGTGTGTGTGTGTTGCTAATAATTAACACAGGCCTCACACAAGCTGGGCAAGCTTTTTTTTTAATATTTAATATTTATTTTTTAGTTTTCGGCAGACACATCTTTGTTTGTATGTGGTGCTGAGGATAAAACCTGGGCCGCACACATGCCAGGTGAGCGCGCTACGGCTTGAGCCACATCCCCAGCCCAAGCTGGGCAAGCTTTATCCACTGAGTTACAACCCCATCCTCCAGATTTAAGGAAACTATTTCCACTAGCTATGTATATTTTACAGTAATTTAGTAAAGTATGCCTCTGTGAGTCAAAGATGGAACAAACTTTTTGTCCCTACTTATCCCCTCTAGACTGCAGAAACTATTGAATATTCTTATTTTCATGGCAATATAATAGTTTGCACAAATTTAATGAGAAGATGTTTTTGTAATAGGACACAATTATTGCTTATATTTCCAAGCTTTTGACTCAAATATCATATTTTCAGATATTACCAGGCAACATTAAAGAACTAAGGTTGAGCCGGGCACAGTGATGCATGCCTGTAATCCCAACGGCTCGGAAAGCTGAGGCATGAGGATCCTGAGTTCAAACAAAGTCAGCTTCGGGGCTGGAGATGTGGCTCAAGCGGTAGCGCGCTCGCCTGGCATGCGTGCGGCCCGGGTTCGATCCTCAGCACCACATACAAACAAAGATGTTGTGTCCGCCAA